AGATCGCAGTCATACGAGTGACCAATCGTTTCGCCCGACGAGGGGTTCAACACTGGGAACCGTTTGGACGACGACTCAATCCATTGGCCGTTGATATAGGCTTTGGATTGCAGTTCATTGAGAAGACTATTACCGGAGGAAGACATGGCTCGACAAGTGATGACTAAACCCTTTGCAGAGATGTGTTTTGACACCAATTGGCGATAATTTAGTCCATATTTAACACTAAATACGAGTTTCGCTCTCAAAGTAATCATATTTTAAACATTTTATTGCATTATTTGATTAAATTTGATGCAAAAAAGTGGTTGTCTTTCACAGCATTTCATTCATTCATTTTCAATGCCATTAATTATCGCATCCTTTTTGCAGTGAATTTCAAACATTGATTTATTAATTCATTTAATCATTTAATAAACATTTAATTCACATGTTATTCAATAAATGCCACCCAAAGGGACAGTCAGTGCACTTCACTTGGCATTGAATTTATGGATCAGTCGATGGTTACCATTACATGACATCTATTGACAACACGAGTCAACACATGTTCACAAAATAAGTTATTAAATGTTTAAATTGTCGCAAAAATTGCTTAAATATATGGCAAATGAGTGATATTTAGTGCACTAATTGTCAATCAATTGGTTAAACGTTGAGTGCATTGAAAGTCATTACAAAAAGTGTGACAAAACTGTTGTTTACAAAGAGTTTGAAACTTGTATTTATTGACAGTTATATTGCAGTCAATGCAATGCAATGCAAACCACGTGTTCCTCACGTCTATTGTATTGAAAACGCGGTCTAAAAGCAAAACAAACGCCTTTTGTCTCATTAGTGATACCATCGCTGAACCGGTCAGTGATCTGATCCCGAGAAATGTCGCCCAAGAAGTCACCCAAAAAGAGAGTGAAGTCAGTGCTGGTGACCAACGATGACGCGGATGTGATGAAGATATTGGATAAGAGCAAACCGATGATCATTTTGACAGATTGTATGAAAAACAATGGTTTGAATGGTATGAATGGTAAGACTACTGTCGATGAGAGCAGCGATTCCAGCGATGGTGACAACGAAGAAGAGTCGATGACTGTCGTCAAGAATCGAGTGATTGATAGCAACTATTTTATGGCCCAATCGTCGCGATCGAAGACATCGAAGAATGCGTTCGCGAAAGTGATCCAAAACTTTGATTTAAACGAATCCAAAATTAAAGACATTATTGAGAATCAATTTGTTGACCAAAGAAGACATTTCATTGATCTCTATATTAATAACAATTATTTCGAGGAATGGTTTCAATCCTTAAAGTAATTAATTATTTATAAATTAATTAAAATTTAATTGTTTTAACAAATATTGTGTTAATTTTGTAAATTAGTTGTGGTTTCAATGTATTGCTCTATGGATTGGGATCTAAACGCAAACTATTGGATCAATTTATTACTCAATGTCTTCAATCAGACCATCACATCGTTATCAATGGCTATAACAATGAAATGACTGTTAAAAATGTAAGAATTTATTTAATGTATGATTAATTAAAATATTTCTAAACAGTATTTTTGTATCAATTTATAGATGATTAATGTTTTAAATGAAGTGATGAGTGAATCAATTAATGATGAAACGAAATTAATCGACAAATTAAAAGACATTGATTTTGATGTGTATTTAGTGATCCATTCAATTGACTTCTTGTTCGGCAATAACTCGAAGATGAAGTCATTGTTCAGCCAAATGGTGTCCGTTTGCAGTCGTTTACGATTCATAGCGAGTGTCGATCACGTGAATAGCGGTCTGTTGTGGTCGACCACTGAATCCAATGCCTATAAGTGGTTGTGGTTTAATGTGCCGACGTATGAGTCGTATACGATTGAGAAGGCGTTCAGCACTGGGCTATCAATGCTGAGCGGCTCATCCAAATCGTGGACACAATCGTTGACTTATTCCTCTGTTAAACATGTTTACGATTCGCTCACAACAAACGCACAGAAAGTTTTTCTCCTTATTTTGACTCATTTTGTGGAAAAGGATGAGACGAACAGCGGATTCGCGTTCAGTGATTGCTATTCGTTGTGTAGGGAAGAGTTTTTGGTCACTTCGGAGTTGACATATTCCCGAGTTTAGTCACTTAAGTTTCTGGTATTTGAGGAATTCAGATTCTTTCCGCAGCTGCCGCCTCTTCACTAACAGCAAACATAACTATTTTCATAACGAGTTTTTAAGTATCTTTCAGTATTATGATAACTCTTTGTATGTTTTAATTATTAATTCATTAAATAAAATCTATTTTTGCATTAAAAAATCTTTATTATTAATTTATTCATTGATTTCTAATGATTAACAACTGATATAAACCTTTTATGACATATTTGTCGTGTTATTAAACATTTTGTATGTAATGAATAAAAAAAATATAATTAATTATGGTAAAATTAAGAAAATTAATTTCTAACATAAATAATTAATTTTATTTTTTCTAAATATTTTCCTCGAATAAAAATTTCTTTTTTAGACAACTTCTGAAAATTTTATTTTTTACATGTTTTTAGGACAACATTTTTATTGTGTTTAACTCTTTAATTATAATGTAATAATAGTGACAATAGTTTGTCTTTTTGATTTTTATTACATTTAAATATAAGTTTTGTTTAATTTTATAATGATTTAATGTTTAACTTTTACAATTATTTAATTAATTTGCAATTTATTCATCACAATAGACATAAAATTGTGTAATCATTAAAAAGTAACAAATATTTACAATGTATTCACACAATTACTTATTAAATTGAAATACTTATTGAATTAATGGAAAATCCTTTGCACTATACGAATGGGTTTTTGGGATTTTCACAATACATTTTTGTTGATATCAAGTTTTGTTGTACCAAAAAATTGGTAATTCAGAAATGAATACAAAGACTAACATTTTGACTAACAATAAGATTCACTAAATAAAAGTGAACGCAAGGGATGGAAAGGACCACAAAGTTTCCCATAACTTAATTTATTTTATTTTTATGGCGAAAGACTTATGAAAAATGAGACTTGTTTTGAGTGCGATTAACAGTAACTCAAAAGTTTGATCAAAATGTTTGTTACACACATTTATGTAGTTTTGTATTTAAAGTTGTAGTAATAAATCACTCGTTTTAGGCGATGGAGATAACAATCGATAGCCTTTATGTATTGATTCAATACATTTACTCACGAATCGGTTATCTCTTTTATTTAGTAAATCCAAGTAAATGTATGTTTGAAACCGTGGACGACGTGCCCCGATATGTGGCTGAGGTATTCAATATTGGATTTATTTTGGCATTAATTATTGCAAAATCAATATTTCTATCATCAGATGTTTCCGGTATTCATCGCATTAGCGGTGACCGAGAATGGGATCCGTTTATTGAAAGGCAAATCAATATTACGGCCAAACGATACGATGGCTTCTATAGGTCAGGGAATATTCCAGGAATGCATTCGGTATTACATACCATATGATTAATTATTACATTACATGTAAAATTAATTGATTTTATTTTTGATGAAGAATTAACATAAGAAGTTTTGAAGTGTTTATGTATTGCATTGTATGGAATAATTGTCGAGTTTTAACATTACAATGGGATTCGCAGATCACGTGGTGGTTATGTTTAGTCTTCTCAATGAACTGCAATCCAAAGCCTATATCAACGGCCAATGGATTGAGTCGTCGTCCAAACGGTTCCCAGTGTTGAACCCCTCGTCGGGCGAAACGATTGGTCACTCGTATGACTGCGATCTGAATGAGACCAACGATGCGATCGTCGGCGCGAAGACTGCGTTCACTCAATGGAGTCAAACGACAGGCAAATATCGATCGCAACTCATTCACCGTCTCTTTGAACTTCAGATGAGATCAGCGCCAGAAATGGCACAAATCTTGACTCTGGAAATGGGAAAGCCGTTGAAGGAAGCGATGGGAGAGATCTCATACGGCGCCTCATTCTTGGAGTGGTTCTCGGAAGAGGCCAAACGTATTGAAGGCCGCCTATTGGAGAGCCCGTGGGAGAAGAAGATGATTATGTACTCGAAAGAGCCCATCGGTGTCGTCGCTATCATAACACCCGTTCGTAACACACTTTCGGATATACTTTGCAATGTCTTTGCCGTCAAATAAAAAACGGTATATTTTTAGTGGAATTTCCCGAACGCTATGATTACGCGTAAATTGGGAGCCGTTTTGGCCGCCGGTTGTACTGCAGTCATACGACCCGCAGAGGACACGCCCTTCTCGGGTCTGGCGATCGCCAAATATATTTTTAGTGGAATTTCCCGAACGCTATGATTACGCGTAAATTGGGAGCCGTTTTGGCCGCCGGTTGTACTGCAGTCATACGACCCGCAGAGGACACGCCCTTCTCGGGTCTGGCGATCGCCAAACTCGCCGAAGAGGCGGGCTTTCCGAAGGGTGTGATTAATGTGATCCCCTCTTCGCGACACAACGCCTCCCAAATCGGCAAAGCGTTGTGCGAGTCGACAGACGTGAGCGCCATATCGTTCACCGGCTCGACAGCCGTCGGCAAAATACTGTTGTCTCAGTCGGCGTCGACCGTCAAGAGAGTCTGTCTCGAACTCGGAGGTAACGCACCGTTCATTGTCTTCGATTCGGCGGATGTCGACAAAGCCGTCGACGGATGCATTGTCTCAAAGTTCAGAAACGCCGGACAAGTAATGAATGATTAAATGTTATGTTATATAAATGGTTTGACTGATGATTAATTTTGTGTTGAATCAGACGTGTGTTTGCGCTAACCGTATATACGTTCAAACGGGTATTTACGACACATTTGTGGCTAAATTGGCGCAAAAAATGTCTGAGCAGTTGGTTGTGGGCGACGGAACCGATAGTAAGACAACTGTCGGACCACTGATTAACTCGAAAGGTGTGGATAAAGTGAAACTGCATGTGAAGGACGCCGTGGAAAAGGGTGGACACGTCTATATGGGAGGGAAGCAAATAAAGGGAAACTTTTTCGAACCAACGATCGTAACCAATGTTAACAACGATATGCTCTTCAGTCAAGAGGAGACGTTCGGACCGTTGGCTCCGATTTATCGGTAAATTTTTTGTTTTTTTAATCTCTCTTTACTATAAGTATATAATATTTCAATACAACAAAAGTTAATATAATTTAACGGTTTTATAACAATAGTATATTATAATAAAAACTAATTTAATTAATTTAATCGATATTTGGATTCAATAATTAAATAAATAGATTCTCGAGTGAGGATGAAGTGTTGTCACTGGCGAATGGGACTCGTGTAGGACTGGCCGCCTATTTCTATTCCAATGACTTGTCACAGATATGGAGAGTCGCCAAACGGCTCAAAGTAGGAATGGTTGGCGTCAATGAGGGACTCATCTCCACGTGTGAGGCGCCCTTCGGTGGCGTCAAAGAGTCCGGTTTGGGTCGCGAGGGCTCGCACTTCGGTGTCGACGAGTTCCTCGACGTCAAGTATATATGTTTGGGAGGGCTTTAGAAATGATTGTGAATTTATTATACAATTAAATGTTGTGCTCTAAATATATGTTTCTAAATATGTATTCAATGTGTAATCAATTTTGACGTCTATTTCCACACTTTGACTACACCATCACTACTGGCGGACACGAGTAAGTGATTGACTCGCGCCACGTCTGTGATGCAGTCCCTGTGCGAAGTGCTGACCACGTGCTGATCCCATGACGAGTGGGCCTGAGGTGTGGCCTGTAGGCCCTCCTGACACTCTTGTATCACTTGAATGCCTTCAATGAATTTTGACGAGTAGTTTACACTGTTATTAGATTTTGCGTTATCACTGATTATGTAACTCCTCTCGGGTTTAGCCAAATCCCAGTAACGTATTCTCTGATCGGTTCCCCCCGTTATGATCGACGACTCGTTGCCAGTGTTTGTCACTAACATTCCCAACACTGAATGCGGCGATGCCTTCAAACATTGACAATAATTACAGTTACTATTACTGATAACCAGTATTAATCATGGATTGCATACCTGTGTCAACGAAAGAGGTGGTGCAGTACTGGCCCACAATGTGCTAACTCTGGATCCAGACTCGCAATCCCAAAGAGTTACTTCACAGTTGCCTTGAGCTGCAAATAACAAGAAATTGTGTTTTAATGTGTGTTGTTTTGTGTATTTTCATATAAATATATTACCTGAGGAATAGAGTCCGTCTTCAGTGTATCTGATTTTTCTTATCCTATTTTGCGTGGGATATGAAGAAGTGTTTGAACGCAATAAAAATCTTAAGTCAAATGTAATCAATAGTCCACGAGTTGTGCCGCAAAAGAGTACATAATCGTTGCCATCGATGGAAGTGATGAGTCTTTCGTGCGCTTCTATATTCATCTTCCAAATGGGTTTCGTTTGGTCCGTCTTAAGAGTCCTGATATCATACGCTAGTATTGATGAGTCGGACAGAGATATAGCGAATGTGTTTTCGTTCAAAGAGGTTATATCTGTAATGATTGAGCCCTCGATGTCAGGGAAGACCTGAAAAGTGGTCACTAATTTCATTTTCAAAGAACTCGATATAATCTCCAGAATGTGAACCAAATTAGTGTCTGTGAAGACAATAATACAGTCCTTGCAATAAGTCATTCCTCCCATCGCTTGTGGATTAAGTGATGATTGGGAGATGAAGTTGAATCTCGATCGGTTCACCACATTCTTGCCCTCGATTTTGGCCGAATCCCACACTTTGACGGTTCCGTCTGTGGAACAGGTGGCGAATAGCGAGGAATCCGACACTTTTAACACCTGTTTAACAGCGGACTCGTGTTCGTGAAGATGTGCCACTAATACACCCTTTGGCTTGAATGGAGTCACTTTCGGCCACTTGATTGTCGCCAATGGATTTGAATGACTTCTCTTATGTTGGATCAGATCGTTGACCGCCTGATGACAGGGCGGGCACTGGATGTGCGACTGATCGTATTCGCGGGCCTCGTGTGCCACAGGTATCACATTCTCGGCGTCGTCGTCGTTGGAAGTGACAAATTTGGCGTTTGAGCCAAACATGTGAAGCCATTCCTCGTTCATAGTGGAGGTCTGCTTCTTATGGGTCGGCCTCTCATTACCCGCATTACGAAGAGTGACGCTAAAGAACCTGCGATTAGTGTTTCGTTTGCTGATAGCTATGCCTCCCGACAACTTCTTGGGCACCAAATTCTTCTTATTTTTGCTAATCTTTCTAATTAAGTCCGAGAGCGCCACCAATTGGTCTTCAATCGTATCGGTCATACCCTCGTGAGTGAGTCGTAAGTAAAGGGCGTCTTCAAAGACAATGGCCGACTGGTGATGGCGTGGAATCGTTCGCAACGCCTTCCTCTGCGCCAAACACTCAAATAATTTGTCGATATTTAGCTTCGAATTCAGTATCAATTCGTGAATACTTCTGGGAATCGATGGGTGAAATGAATCCTTCAGCAGATCTGCGTTCTTGAATGAATGGATATTTCGCTGAAAATTTGGATCGATTAATGGCTTAATTTTGCAGTTGATGTCAGCCAACGAAAGACGTGATGATAGGGTTAGAACCAATGCAATCAACGCGTTATTAATCCATTGGTTCGGATGAGCCAACAGTGGGAACGCTTCTCTGACCAACTCATAGATTATGCTCTTTTTGAGTAATCCTTTGAAATAACAAAATTAATGTCAATTATTAAGTAAACCATTAGAAAAAATTTCATTGCAAACCCTGTTCTATAAGTGACGCGAGAGATGTGATGGTCTTGTAAACAATGGTCTCTTCGGCGTCGGATAATCCCTGTTGAAGGAGTGGCTGAAGAATTGTGGAGCACTGAGAGCCCAGATATGATGCGATCACTATTATGTTGTCGAAGAATGAGGCGCGCAATTGGAAGTCATTCTGTGGGAAATGACAATCAATACCCGATTAGAAGTGGCCATTCATTTACATTCAAAAGCAATTCAATACCTTATCGTTGAGAAACGTAATGATATGACTGAGAATCACTTCATTAGTCTTTTGTCTGCCAAAGAAGACGCAAAGGTTGGCACAGCTGTGGGGCGTCAACAGTAGTGTCCGTCGGACACAATTGTTTGA